ACATAGATGTATAGAAATTATTATAATAAAACATAAAGATTGTATGTTTTTAAATTAGTAGTTAATTTCTTCTCTCTCTTTCCTTAAATATTTTATAATATTGCTAATAATAATTAGCAAATCAATAATCAACATAAACTTTAATTGCATAATACATATAATTCGATGTAGTACAGCAATATATATAATTGATAAATATAACTTTAATTTAATAAAAAAAGTAACATATAATATTATATTAAATAATATTATATTATATTACTATATTAAATAAGCAAATAAAAATAAATAAATACTAAGTATGAGAAACGCGTGAAACATTTCATAGCTGGACACAATCATACCTATTTATTACTTACAGGAAACACTTTGCAGCGAAAATAAAGAAAATGTTGAAATATCATCCCACCTACGGTTTATATCCTGCCAATGCGCATTATTTTCTTACCCTGACGAAAATACGGAACTTTATAAAACGTTGACAACCGTTCGGTGATAATTTTTTAAGAGTTTATACACAATAAAGTATAAAATATTTCGTAAACTATTGGTTTTTTTTATATCTCTACCTCAATACCTTTATAAAATAATTAGAGATTATATTATGTAAAAAAATTATATCTTTCATCTGAAACATTTTTTCCTATCATAAAATCCAAGCGAGATATTTCAGATACTCAAGTTAGTTGGCACATTCTGTATATATTTATAAGTTTTCTAATAATTGCGCGGCAATATTTCATTTATTATACATTGTCAAAATATAATATAATAGAAAAGGCTCCTATTATAAGATATCAAGTTCATTTTGGGCAAATGCTAGAAGTCTATGGGCAGAATTTAAAGAAATAATAGGTCATTTTGAAGGGAATTTAATAAGCTTTAAGATAATGTTATGTAAAATTTAATTCAAATTCAATTTTTTTGTTTAAAGAAATGTAAAAAGTGAGCAGATCACAAAGTCAAAAAATTATGCTCCTAACATGAAATGCCTCGAAAAATCCATAATAAAACACAAAATACAATATTGCAATCAGCGTTGTAAGAGATACAGTTTTTAAAATAACTAGATACCGTTATAGTTACTTGAAGATAAATATAACTAGGTATAGATATAAATACATATTTTTGTAAGTAACTAGATACAAGTAAATTTATTTTAGAAATATAAATTTAGATACTTTTTAATCTTTTTATTTGTAACAATAACGTCATCAATTTGAAGAATGTATAATGATAAATTAAAAGTATGTAGATTTAAAAGAACATTTTCTTGTGTTAAATCAATATTGAATTTAGTTGTATAAAATATTTATAAACTTGACAGAACTATACTACAAATTAATAGAAATCCAATAAGTTGTTAATAGTAATTCCGAAATTAATTCAACTTTGATTTTGAATTAATGTAATTGATTCAAATTGTTATAATTTTTCGAAAAATAATTGTTTTTAACTTTTACATAAAGTTCTTATTTCCTTTATTATTCTTAAGCAGAATTATTTTATAGTTTCACATACACAATTTTGTAATATATATGTATATAT